CTCTTACTCTACTTCTTTGAAGCATATTCATATTGAGTATGAATGTACATGTTCACACGATGCTACGTTCTGACAGCGTGTGGCATTTATTGCCTCATCTCCATTAGAATGACTGCCTAAATACATCAGTAAATATATAATTCTTAGTAACGCATTAAGATTTTTATTTTGCGTTCTGTTGGCACATGGATTTCAGTTTTTTCTCGTTTAACTGCTTGCAGAATGCCTTGAGCGATGCGTTGACATCACTTCCTAAAACTTTAATACTGAAAGAGTCATTCAATGGTTGTCATATGACGGCTTCTTATTACTGATATTTGAGAAATCATGAAATATTTTATCCTGAGTCAATATTTATCAAACTACCTTACTGAGTAACTAAAGCAGATTCTTTTTTCTTCCAATAGTAAAAAAGCATGCATCATACTGTTCGAATACGTGATTTATCACCAGCACCTGCAAATCAAACGAGCTATCGAAAAGGACCTTCACAAGCATCAAGCAATCATTGGGTAGCAGCTGTGGATAACCGCTATTCGGCTTCATCACCGGATCGCTACAAAGTTCAATATTGGTATGAAAATGGACCACATACACATGGTGACTATTCTGGTCATCCAGTATTTGAAGCTTTTCTTGCTGCGTATGCCAATCATGAAGATATCATCCTTTCTCCTGATGATATTTGGCTCATGATTACAATTTATTATGCCAAATATGTCGATGACAATGCAGAACAATTGCGATCATTGTTTGTTGACGATGAAGGAAAAAAGGAGCTTGAAGTCATCGTTTCAACTGAGACACCTAAGTAAGCACCATACTAACAGATCATTTAGTTAATATCCGATAATTTTCTTCTTTTTGTTATTGTCGGTTAGTTGGCCTGAATTCTTGGAACAGATAAAAGTGGAAATTAGTAAAAATGTAAAAAACGATATAGTAGAAGTTCTGACATCGGCCTATTCAACAACAGGCCCAGTCGAGTCATTGTTGTCCTGTGCTTGTATCATGCACACATTCAAAAAATATTTTGATTATATTCATTGTATTCCCGGTTGTGGCATACGAAATGTTCATTTTTTGGGTACCTTAGCTGATTGGCAACTCTTACGAAGTAAAGCAGAAAGACTCAAAAATTTTACAAAACCAAGCACGGATCCTTATCGGAGCGTATATACGGATTTTTCGAGCTATATCGATGGAGTATTGCCCATTTTGGATGAATTCATTCGTACGTATCAGGGACAAGTCGACAATAAGTTTTGGGATCAAATTTTTGATTACACTCATGTACACAAAAGAGGTGGATCTGGGTAAGTTAAAATAGGAGATTATCTTGAAATTGTAATTTCTTTCTTCGTTCGTAGGATGATTATTGGAGAAGTGATGGGTATTCGAGGTTGGTTTCTTCGCTTGTGTTTCGGACTGCACTATTCTGACGCAAAAATAGAACTCGATAACCTTAGGCTCAATGGTATCTCAGTACCAGTTACTTTAAAGAATCTGACCACGAATCAGAAATCTCCATGTTACGTTGCTGGTGGTTTTCATGGAGTCCATTCAAAAGATGGAAAGCACAGACCTGTTATGAGTCTATCGATTATCGAGGATACCAAACCTGACAAATAAACTGTGTACTCTAACTATTTCATCCAATCGATTTTAATAATAGACTTTCATGAAAGAAATTTAAAAACGTAATAAATATTCTAATTTTGTAAAAGAGAAAGAAAGCCGATTATATTCAGGATTTTTTCTAGTAAACTTTTGATTTCAATAAAATGACCTTCGAAAATGGCAAGCATCAATCGGATAAGATTCATGTTGAGTTGTACGAATCTCATAGAAGAAGGAGAAAAATAAAAGTGATGAGTAATGATATGCTTCATTAAATTACCAAATATTGTCATTCTCATGATATAGAGATCAACACACAGATTTGGAAAGAAACAACAATTCTCGACAATTTGGATCACGGTATGGGTGTGAATCAAGAAAACACACACACACTCACACTCTCATCTTCAATCCAGATATACTCACTATCAGTTACATTCTCATACGTACATTGTCATCAATTCATCCATTCGCCACACCCTCACCGTCTACGTATGCACTTATATTCTTATTCTTTTCTTTTGTTTTAGCCATGCATCAAGGATTTTCCTTTCCTGTGATAAACATGTCATGAACCTTTTCTTTCCCATCGTATATATGTGATGGACTTTTCCTTTCCTTCACTCTTCTTTCTTTGGGTGTGGGTGGGTGTGGGTGTGGGTGAGGATGTGGGTGTGGGTGTGGGTGTGGGTGCGTGTGGGTATGCGTGTGGGTGTGGGTGCGTGTGGGTATGCGTGTGGGTGTGGGTGCGTGTGGGTATGCGTGTGGGTGTGGGTGCGTGTGGGTAT